CAAATCTATTTACTCAATGCGAACTTTCTTAATGCGCTGCACTACATGGCAAATAAATTAAGTTAACCCCTCTAGAGGACCTCTCCATACATCTTGTGCTGACATACATAGCATATCTCTCTGGTATATACCTACGTCCATATAATTATATATAGTTAACATTGCAAAACAACGCATAAACATAATAATACGCATAGTGTAACAGTTTTGTATACCAATTAAATTGTTAGCTGGCCAATTATTCTAACAATTATTGGCACTTGTTCAACACTGTCACAGTTACGTGTCCACTCCCAACACTAACTGGCCGTATCAGAAATTCTGTCATACTGTTACTCGCCGTCGTATAACTAGTTTTTCATTTATATTTGACACATGCCAACACGTTTGCATTCAGCGCACACACTTCGTCGCCTATAAACCCACCCCGCGCTCCCCTTCAGGTCCCTCTTGCTGCCCCTTTAGCTGCTGTTGCGGTGTTAGCCAAACTAATTGGCTGCGTTTTTGGTTAATTAGCGCAGTTTCGACTGCCACCAGGCAACGTTTCCATTGACGTTGCCGTTGCCGTAGCCGTAGCCGTGTCCATTGCTATCGTCGTTTTGGAGCACTGAAATCTCGCACACGCGCTTTTATTGCCACTCAAATTGGCAGGCGAAAACTTTGGCAGCGGCAACAATTTTGTCTGCATTAAAGCGTTGTAATTATTTTATGCCAGATAACAATTTGATATTGTCAGGCGCTGTAAAATGTGTCCATGCTCGCTGCTAACTTGGCCAATGCAGTGCTGCCAGGGGCGGCAACTGCAACTGCAACAGCAACTGCAACAGCAACTGTCACTGCCACTGCACATGCGTGTCTATGCAAATTGTCCAAATGCAACCAGGCCACATTAGGCTGAGCCAGGACAGACCCCAAATGTGTGCCTGAAGTGCGAAGGCAAGCAACGAACAATGGAGCGACATGGAGCACAGTGTTGATAAGCGATATATAAGTGCAGCAATTGAATGCTGTCATTCTGTGTTAATGTGGCCATTGTCTAAAATGTGCCCAGTGTTGGTAAAGATGTGGTCATGGCCATGCTGTAGTCGTAACTTCTGCTTTGAGCTCCATTTTGGCTTACTATTAACAAGGAAAAACAGTTCTTAACAGGAGTAACAAGTAAAATAACTTATTATGGCGAGCAGTGTTGGTAAACGTAGCTTACTGATTGGTTGCTTTTTAGCTAAAGTGAGCACGGAAAATAGTTTGAGGAAATATAAAAGTGGAAAATTGTTGCTAAACGTAAAAAGCTGCTGAGCTACTGAGTTGCTGTTGGGCTTATGTAAACATAAAAAACAGTGTTGGTAAAGGTAAAGTGCTGCTTAAAGCTGAAAGTCACCATGCAGGACAGGTATAAATCATCTAAAAGCAAACTAACAGCTATTTCAGCTCATTAAAGCCGAACTAATTCAAATTCCAAACGTTTTTGGCCCACTCTAATGCCGCGCCAAACAGTAAAACGGCATTCTCCATGCACACTCATATGAATAACAGCAGCGGCAACAACGCGCGCCTGCAGCAAACACTGTGGCGGCTGCCAATGTGCCTGTCAACAACTGACAGCCGCAGCGCGGGCTGCAGCAACAACAACACGCAACAGCAACAGCAACAACAACAACAACACGCAACAAACTCAACTTAGTAGCAGCAACTGCAACAACTGCAACAACTGCAGCAACTGCAGCTCCAGCTTGAACAGCAGCAGCTCGGTCCTCGTCATCGCTTTAACAATTTGCAATAAATTAGCCAGCGACTGCGCCGAGTTTTCACTTGAAATGCGATTCGAATTGCATTTGCACGGCGACATTTTGTCAGACTTTTCTTGTTTATTTTCCATTTTTCCATTGCCGTATACATGCATACATATATATGTATTTTTTGCTTTACCGTTACCCAGTTTTCGCCACACATAGCCGCAATTCAAGCGCTCCGTCTCTCTGACAGTTAACACTTTTAACCACAACTATTTCGAGCATGTCTTGACAATTTCACACTCGATCTAGCGTTGAAGTTGCTTGCAACTGGCAGCAACAGCTGCTGCAAACTAATTTTTCTCTACCTGGCTGCCACATTTCTTTTTTTTTTTGGCCTGGCCCTTTCACACAGGTAGCGTGTCGTTGGCAATTCTTCACGAAACTCACCTGGAGGAATGTGCCACAAATGCGCACAGCAGGCGATTCGGTCACGCCCACAAATAAATCTAAATAAACCCCTTAGAGCTGATCCAAAAGGATGCGAAATGAGTGCAAAGTCGGAGTTTTGTTCCTGTTCCTTCTACATCTAAATATTGCTCTAAATGTTGGCCTCTTTTATTTACGTTCCTAACTAGTTCACTTTTTGCTCTCAACCAAAGACATTTTGTGTCGTTGTCAACTTGGCTATGAACTCAAGGCTCCAGTCCACCTCCCCGGTCACCCGGAATATGACCTTGTAATAGCCCTCGGGCGCTATTTCGGGCATGCCGTCGCCATTGGCCACACACTTCTCCAGCTTGTAGACGCCTCTGGGCCAGGGATCGACGTTGTCGGGCTGCGGTAGATTCGAGCATTGGCCGAGATTTTTAAAAATAATGTCCTTATAGTAGGAGCTGGTATACTTTTTATATGTCTGCTTGGGTATAGACCACGGCAGGAGAACATATTCATCGGGATTACCCGAAGAGCTGCGATAGGCCACAACCTCCACCTGTAAAAGGATCAGACTAATTTTCAAGAGCACATTTTGACATTATATTACCCACAATTGTGGTCTCATCCGTATCGTAGTTCCAGTCCAATGCCGCCGTTATGGCATATTCTCCGCGTCCCACGCGTTCCGTTTTTGCCACAAGAAACATTTTCTTTGGATCCGAGGTTTGGACTGCAACAGACAACGGCTCGTAATCCCAGTTGCGCTATGATAGAGATTATCCAGTTTGTATTCTGTATTCTGTATATAGCCAGCTTTCCACTTACTTTGCCGGCACAGCCATTGAGCAACAGCACAAATGTGACAATTCCCGAAGCAGAAAACCAGAACGAACGCGTAAACATTTTCAAAATTTAACTTTGAGCTACTGAGCAGATTACTTGTGCTTTATATAACATTATATTGGGCCAATAGTTCATGTAGATCTCGACATAGTTTTAATGGGACTTGTTAACAAGCGCTCAATGTGGCTAATTGGGCTAATTGTGCACAAATTTCATGTCAACGAGTCTGCTCGTTCATGGAAATATTTATTTCAATTTTCCCTCTATCTGATCAAAATTAGTACGAATAACTATGTTGTGGTGCATGTGTCTACTTCATCTGGCCAAAGCAATCCCAATTCCATTTGTTTAATCTACAACTCGTTAGGTTTTCCCCTTAATCAATAAATGTCCATATGTTGTTCGAGTTTTTAGATCTCATCTATGTAATAGTACCAGGTAGAGTCGCCAAGCTTGGCATTTAAGTTCCCGAAAGAAAACTTAACTAAACTAAATCTTGCTCTACTCAAAGACTTAATAAATTCTTTTTAAATGGAATGTAGATTGCAGAGTTCTAAACTCAGAAAGAAATTTTTGAGTACATTTAAGCAAAAGTTTTATAGCTCACATCCAAAAACATGTTGAAAGTCTGACTCTTACTTATTTAACTATATATGTCATGAATATACAAATATGATTTGTTAAATACATTCAGAAAGAAAATAGTGAAATGGATAGGAAAGTTTCTTTTGTTCTCATAACTAAATATGATATTATAATATTTTGTTTTGCCTAAAATATCTTAAATCTCTTTTGTGAGCTCGCAACGAAATTGAAATAGATATTTCTATACAAATGTATATGTATATATGCTCATGCGCATATCCATTTAAATATGTATTTAAATATTTACATATATATTAATTTATATAATTTGGCAATAATTCACAAAGTCAAAGCCTTAATATATTTAACCTATATTAGGAACGAGAACAAAGCTGCCGTCAATCGCGCCGGTAACTGTAGAAATAACCTTACAGTTGACCTCGAGCGGCTTCTCGGGCACATGAAGGTCCGTGACCAAAAATAGTTCCAGCTGGAACGTCTTCTCAAGCCAGGTATTTGCATTGACCAAGTGCGGTAGTTGGGACCAGGAGATGAGAATTGCCTGTAACAGCCCATTGCAATCGTGCGAGATATGTTCCTCAGATAATAGCCTTGGCATTGAGCAGGATACGTTGCGTAATATTCGCCGCAGCCCACGGTCTCAATTTGCGCCACAAGATTCAATTTGGCCGGATTCGTTGTTCTAAATGCCACCAACATGGGCTCGTATTCCCAGTTGCACTGCAAAAGGCTTCATATGATTATTTGTTCGCCATAAAGCCGACTCTCCGCTTTCCGTTTTCCGCTTACGTAGCTCGCACAGCCCGTCAGCAACAGCACAAATGCGACTATACTTGCAGCACAGGACATCAACGAACGGCCAAACATTTTCAACATTGAACTAAATACCAGACTATTCGTGCTTTATATATGGTAGGTCAGGGAATCAGTTAAGCTCTATATACTATATAGCCTATACAATTGCTTTAATTTGGTTTTTTTTCAACAACAACTGACAGGCGCAATTTGTGCCTGACTGCCATCAGATTGGGCTAATTGTCAGCTATATAATTGCGATTTCATTTTAATAACCGGTAGTTCATTAAAATGTGATTGGGCGGGTATATTATACTTGTGCATTCGCAATGTCATAAATATCTATGTATATGTAGACTTTTAATCATGTCAACAGCGGGTAGAGTGAGTAGTTAATCTCAATGCATTCGGGAACTCCCAGTTAAATACGGATTTGTTGTTGCTCTTTTCTGATTACATTTTCGTATAGCTTGAACAGATCTTGAAGATCTTAAGATCCACAAATCGTATATACCATAAGCATGAAATAGGAGCTTTACCCTCTAAAAGTAATTAAAATACCTAAGAATATTCAAAAAATATATCTGCACTTTAGGGAACCTGTTTATTTTGAATAATTGTAAATATATTGCATTAATTATTAACCCATCATACTCTTCGAGAAAATCTTAGCTATGAGCTCAAAGCCCCATTCGACCTCGCCGGTAACGCTAAATAGAATCTTGTAGTAGCCCTCGGGCGCCATTTCGGGCATACCCTCGCCTGTGATCACACACTTATCCAGCTTGATTGTCATTGAGGGAAATGGCGATTCGGTGCCGGGCTTTGGCAGATTCGAGCAGGCGCCAAGATTTGAATAGATCACCTCCTTGTAATAGCCGTTGATGTAATCCTGAAATGATTGCTTCGGTATGGACCAGGGCACCAGTTGATAGTCATTGCCGTTGCCCGACTGGCTGCGATAGGCTATGGCCTCTACCTGGTTGAGTTGAATGTATGTATACGCCAATTATTTAGATCTATAAGCAATCGATTAGGTAATGCCACCCACCATTGTCGTCTCGTCGATTTTGTAGTTAATTCCAAACGTGGCTGATATGAATTTATCGCGTCGTTCGCGTTCAATTTCGGTCTCAATTGTCAATTTTGATGCGTCCGATGTGCGGCCAGTTATGAACAATGGCTCGTAATCCCATTGGCGCTGCATGAGATGAACAGGATATTATTATCCCTGCTATTGTATATCCCGAAACCTTAACTAACCTTGGCGCTGCAGCTGACACAGAGCACAACTATGCCAATAATCGTTGTAAGAGTCCAAAGCGAAAACATTGTCGTTGCGTCCAATGTTAACTTTTGAATCTCACACATTTTCCTAGCCTTATATAGCACAGGTCATAGCATCAGATTGGGTCAAATGCACATAGCTTGTTGTTGTAGATCGATCCAAAAGTATTTGACAATAATTAGAGTATCCACATGTGCCCCCCAATAACGAACATGACATGCAAATCTGATTAGTTCATTGCATGTCAACTTCTCTATCGCTTAGCTATTATCATTATTATTCGTATTATAATGATTACTATTATTATTATTATTATGATTACGATGATTAATTATTGTTTACCCAACAATCCATTTAGAAATTAGTTTTATCTTTATTTATTTTATTAAAGCTATTATTGGTTTGTGTTATTATTTATACAAACTATAAAAATTATTTTTAGCACTGACTTCTTTGGCCTTCGGCTCAAGTATTTGAACCTGCGACCTTCCTTGAAACAAAAATGACAAAGAAAGTATTTAATACCCTTGTAAACACTTTCCTTTCGCTTAATATCTGCCAAGATAGTGAAGGTCTTAAATGCTTTTTTTTTTTTTTTTTTAATAAGTGGTTTGTAAGGACTCTTTTGACATACAAAAACTCACTTTTCTACCTAGACTTCACCACCCTAAGATTCGAACCCGCAACCTCCTTTAAAAAATGAAAACATTCAGCTTGCAGACCTATTGTATATTTTATTTAGAATATTTAAACACACATTTAAATATATTTAAGCTCTCATATTGTTGGCTTCATTTGACATATTCCTGGATCTATCCAATTAAATCCGATTTCGTTGTTATCTTGACAATTGCGGCATGTGAAACTGCCGCTCACTGTGAATACGATCTTATAGTAACCCTCCAACAGAATCTCAGGCAAATCTTCTCCGGTGACCACACACTTGTCGAAGAAGTAGACGTCCTTAGGCAAAGGGTAGGCGTTGTCGGGTTCTGTTAGATTCGAGCAATGCTTTATGTTCTTCTAAAGAATATCCTTGTAGAAGGTTTTGGTAAACGATTGAAGAGTCTGCTTTGGTATAACCCAGGGTAGCACCTCGTAGTCATCCTCGCTGCCAGACTTGCTGCGATAGCTCGCGGCCTCGAACTGTTTGAGAATATATATTATAGAATATACATCTAGGCAGGAATATACTTGTAGATAGTTAGAACTCACCATAGTGCTCTCGTCCACATCATCATCATAAAATATTTTAGCCGTTATGGCATATTCGCCGCGTCCCACACGGTCAACACTTGTCTCCACGTTCAGTTTTGATGCATTCGTTGCTGTAGAACTAGCAAACAGAGGTTCATATTCCCAACGGCGCTGTCATCGGTTTAATGATGAATGCATTAGCTAATTGGTCAGTTTACTAGATGTGCAACCATCTAATGCAAAAACACAGCAACATGCCACAGAGAAAGACAGCGGCAAATCCGTATGCATTTCGGATGAGCTCTGGTTATGACCCTACCCATAACCAGGTTATTTATATACATATATAGGTTATGTCGTGACTCCAATTCGTACTGTTGGTTGTAGCCATTAAGCTTGACAAGTGTCAACGTTGTTAACATGTCCCTAGCATCCAATTTGATCATATCTATATCTATTTAAATTTTTTCAAATTAACAGTACGTGTTTCATCCCATGGCTGTGGATCGTCGGGAGATTAGTCGTTCAGACAGTCAGGCAACTAAAAGTTCTAGTTATGATTCCAATTTTAGGCTAATAGACAGATCTTAGGCGTTGACCATTGTAGCCAAGTCATATAGAAAACATACATAATCAACAAATCTAGTCAAAAGAGAAATAATACATTTTCGAAATAGTTCAATTACCGATTGAAAACTCTAGTTACCTTTTGGGAATCCCCAGCTATTATCATCCCAAAGAATCAGCCACAAAAAGTTGAAAGAACTTTCAAATTGCAGAGCTATTGTATATTAAATATAACTTGTGTTTTTTTTTGGAACCACGCGGATAGATACGGATAGATACTGTTAAAACTAATCTAATTCTTTTGATTACTATTCATATAAAGTAATCAATATTGGTTTTCTCATGCCATGACCCTTCGGTTCTCTTTGGGCTTAACCAATTAAATCCAAATTCGTGGTCAGCAATACAAAAATTGTTATGCCAGCCCCGACCTCTCCGCTGATGTCGAAGGTGATCTTGTAGTCGCCCTCGGGCACAACTTCGGGCATTCCATCGCCAGTCACAGTGCAGTTATCGAAATTGTATGTGCCTTTGGGCCAAGGGTATACATTCTCGGGTTCGGGTATATTCGAGCACTGCTTCAAATTCTTGTAGACAATGTCCTTGTAATGGGAATCGGCAAAGCTTTTAAATGTCTGCTTCGGTATGCTCCACGGTAAAAGCTTGTAATCATTCTCGCTGCCCGAAGAGCTGCGAAAAGCCGTAGCCTCCACCTGGTGGATAAATATTATGAATATACAATCCATTACATATAAAGAACCCTTTCGATTTCTTAGCACTCGCCATAGTCGTATCGTCCATATCGAAATTGACTAACAGTTTGCCCGTAAAAGCGTATCCATCGCGTCCATTTGGTTCGACATTTGCCTTAAGATTCATTTTTGATGCATTCGTCGTTCTGATAGATATCCAGATTGGTCCGTATTGCCAATTACGCTGCAAACGGGAACAGTTTGAATTTAGCTGCATATCCTCTTCTGAATTAAACTCTGTATCGCTCACCTTGCCAGCACAGATATCAATGAGCAATAGAAGCAATATCCAAGCCACGGAGAGCGTCAGCAGCAGACCCGTATACATTTTCGATGGGGTTTGATTTTGGTTGTATATATAGTCCGATTATTTATATATATGCTGATTTTGTCATGTGTCCCATTCATATTGTGGGTTGTAGCCATTAAGCTTGACAGCAATTAAAATATTAACACATGGCCGGCCTGAGAATCTGATCTGATAATATCAACGTATTCATTTCCACTATAATTTTTGCTAATATCTAATGATAAGAATAATACTTAATAATAAAACCATTTAATACTCTATTTATTAATGACATTCCCAGCAGTTTTACAAGCTGTACCAATAATACTGGGTGTTCATTTATATTGCACGTGCAGATCTTTGAGTGCAATAATTATATGCATTAGGTTAAAAGGGGAATCTCTATTTATTATATTCACATTCAATTCTCGTTGTCTTTGGGGAACCGCCATCTATTTTCAGTCAAAAGAATTAGCCACAATAAAAAGTTGAAAGAACTTTCGAATTGCAGAGCTATTGTAAATTTAATATAACTTGTGTTTTTCTGGAACCACTCAAATAGATACGGATAGATACTGTTAAAACTAACTTACATTTTTTGATTATTATTCAATATTGTTTTTTTATGCCATCACCCTTCGGTTGTCTTTGGGTTCTAAACAATCATTTCCGTATTCGTGATCACCTTTCCAATGTTTGTGAAGCCAAAATCGACCTGTCCGCTGATGGTAAAGACGAGCTTGTAGTAGCCCACGGGCACTACTTCGGGCATTCCATCGCCAGTCACAGTGCAGTTATCGAAATGGTAGGTGCCTTTAGGCCAGGGGTATACATTCTCGGGTTCGGGTATATTCGAGCACTCCTTCAAATTCTTGTAGGCAATCTCCTTGTAATGGGTTTGGGCAAACTGTTTAAATGTCTGCTTCGGTACTCTGAAGGGCAAAACCTTGTAATCGTCCTCGCTGCCCGAATAGCTGCGATAAGCCGTAGCCTCCACCTGGTGGATGAATATGATGAATATACAATGCATCACATTTAAAGAACACTTTTGACACACTCACCATGGTCGTATCGTCCATATCGAAATTTAGTAACAGTTTGGCCGTAAAAACGCATTCATCGCGTCCGATGCGTTCAACATCTGCCTCAAGATTCATTTTTGATGCATCCGTCGTTCTGGTAACTATAGAGATTGGTTCGTAATCCCAATTACGCTGCAAACGGGATCAGTTTAAATTAAAGCTCCATATCGCATCCTGTACTGAACAGTCCACAGCTTACCTTGCCAGCACAGCCAGCGACGAGCAATAGAAGTATCCATGCCACAGAGTAGGACAATAAGAACGAACGGGTGTACATTTCAGATGTGCGCTGGTTTCGTGAGTCCCTTTCCAGCTAAATTTTTCCATTTATATAGATCGGGTTATGTCATCGATGGTATATTTCATTGTAGATTCTTAGCTTTATTATTATTAATTAACCATGTTAACACGAGCTGCTTTGTGTAACTTAAGCAACTTTGTATAAGCAATGACTTTTCATAGAGTACAATGTATAAATTTACATTCAATTGTTGCTCGGGTAAAATATAGTCAAATGCCACAAGGCACCGCTATTAAATACCCTGTTCAGTCGTAAATTGTTTCAATGCTGTTAACTTTTAGCTAATAATTTGGTTAAATCAACAAACATTTATTAACATATTGCTTTCCACACTAGGAAATAACTGCGTGTAAATCGCGCGATATTACATAAAGTTTTGTTTTCTTATGTTAACAGCATCATAGCTATAACATATGTAAACTTTTGTTTAACAGTCTGCGATTAAATGGCGTTATGCTTATAACATTTGAGGGTTATGTTAAGAACAATATTTAAACAGGCTAGCCTCAATTTTTATATCACTTTCTCGGCATTATGTTGGTAAAATTTGTGTGTTATGTTAAACAACTTCAAAAATAAAATAACTAACACACAATATATTTATATATTATTTACAATATTATGAAGAAAATGATCTTTAAAATTTGCAGCTGTTATTGAAATGAAAGTTAATTGCATGCTGTTAATAACATTTGTGTGCTTTGCTCTGTTAACAGGAGTATATTAACATTTGGCCTGGCGTTCAGCTATGTGCTGAAACGTCAGTAAAGCGCTGTTATCTATCTATCTATCTATCTCATCCTCGCGTCCCACACGGTCAGCACTTGTCTCCAAAAGAGGTTCATATTCCCAATGGCACTGTCATCGATTAAATAATGAATGCATTAGCTAATTGGTCAGCTTACTAGATGTGCAACCATCTAACGCTCACCTTGCCAGCACAGCCATTGCAGAGCAACAACAGAGCAACATGCCATAGAGAACGAAATCCGTATGCATTTCGGATGAGCTCTGGTTATGACCCTGCCCATAACCAGATTATTTATATATATATAGTTTATGTCGTGACTCCAATTCGTACTGTTGGTTGTAGCCATTAAGCTTGACAAGTGTTAACATTGTTAACATGTCCGAAGCATCCAATTTGATCATATCAACGAATCTATATCCATCAAATGAACAATACATGTTTCATCCCATGGTTGCGAATCGCCGGGAAATTACTTTTTAGTCAGTCATGCAACTTTAAAATCTAGTTATGATTTCTGTTTTAGACTAGCAGAAGGATCTTAGTATCTCTTAACCAGAGTGCTATATAAAAGATAAATAATCCACAAATTCAGTCCGGTAATCTCTTTAGCAATAAAATCTTACATGGTATCCAGACAGATATGTCATGAAAAGTGGAAACCTATTCCAATATTGATATGGCTTAGGTTATACACTTCATTTAAAATCTGAAAGCGGAATATCTTTTAAATAAATAATTAATTTTAAATCAATTTCTATTGTATATATAATAGGCATTAATTAATTATCAGCATTGTTAACAGACAGCTCTAGTTGCCTTTTGGGAACCCCCAACTATTATCATTCACAAAAAAGATGAAAGAACTTTCGAATTGCAGAGCTATTGTAAATTTAATATAACTTGTGTTTTTCTGGAACCACTCGGATAGATACGGATAGATACTGTTAAAACTAACATAAATTTGTTGATTATTATTCAATATTGTTTTCTTATGCCATCACCTTTCGGTTGTCTTTGGGTTCTAACCAATCATATCCGTTTTCGTGAAGAGCCTAACAATGGTTGTGAAGCCGGTTTCAACCTCCCCGCTGATGGTAAAGATGACCTTGTAGTAGCCCTCGGGCGCAATTTCAGGCATTCCATCGCCAGTCGCAGTGCACCTATCGAATTTGTAGGTGCCTTTGGGCCAGGGATATACATTCTCGGGTTCGGGTATATTTGAGCACTGCTTCAAATTCTTGTAGACAATGTCCTTGTAATGGGAATCGGCAAAGCTTTTAAATGTCTGCTTCGGTATGCTCCACGGTAAAATCTTGTAATCGTCCTCGGCACCCGAAGAGCTCCGATAAGCCGTAGCCTCCACCTGGTGGATAAATACCAATCGCACTTACAATGCATTACATTTAAAGAACCCTTTCGATTTCGTTGCACCCACCATAGTCGTATCGTCCATATCAAAATTGACTAACACTTTGCCCGTAAAAACGTATCCTTTGCGTCCATTTGGTTCAACATCTGCCTCAAGATTCATTTTTGATTCATCGCTCGTTCTGACAACGATAGAGATTGGTTCGTAATCCCAATTACGCTGCAAACGGGATCAGTTTAAATTAAAGCTCCATATCGCATCCTGTACTGAACAGTCCACAGCTTACCTTGCCAGCACAGCCAGCGACGAGCAATAAAAGTATCCATGCCACAGAGTAGGACAATAAGAACGAACGGGTGTACATTTCAGATGTGCGCTGGGTATGTGAGTCCCTTTTCGAGCAGCTACATTTTTCGATTTATATAGATCGGGTTATGTCATCAATGGTATATTTCATTGTAGATTTTTAGCTTTAAGCCAATTAACCGTGTTAACACGAGCTGCTGTGTGTAGCTTTAACAATTTTTTATTAGCAATGACTTTTCATCTACGGTACTTGATAAATTCCACATCTCTATTGAATAACACGCAACTTCGTGCTCTCTTTACATGGGCAACTCTCTGACTCGCAACTGGAGTCCGTATTCACAGAGTACGATGTATAAATTCACATTCATATGTTGCTGACAACGACAAATTACAAAGCTCGGGTAAAAATATAGTCATAAATTTATGAATTATCAGCACCGTGAGGGAGCCAAGCGTGGAGTACATAGAGAACAGACAACGGACAAGGGTTGGCAAATGCCACAAGGCCCAGCTATTAAATACCCTGTTAAATATTAAATTATTTAAACGCTGCTAGTAATTGCTTTTTGTTAAGAATCTAGTTCAAACATAAATTACTTACCAAACTAGTAAATATCTGCGGGTAAATGGCGATGTTACATAAAGTTTTGTTGTTGTATGTTAGCAGTATCACAACTATAACAGATGTAAACTTTTGCTTAACAGTCTATTATATATATGTCGATTTACATTAAATGGTAATGTTAAGAACAATATTTAAACATGCTACCCTTAATTTAAATTCCACTCTTTCGGCATTATGTTAGTTACATTTGTGTGTTATGTTCAGATAACAGCACATCTTCACAGCTAGTGTATGTTATGTTAAGATAACATCACATAATCACAACACTGAAATTCTCTATAAATGTAAATTAACATGTGTTATGGCACTGTTTATATCAATCGCATATTATTCCCAGAGTAATATGCATATGTATTAACTATAAAATGGTAAGCAACAGCTGTTAGTGAAATGAAAGTTTTTGACATGCTGTTAATCACATTTGTGTGCTGTTCAGCACTTTGCTTCTGCTAACCATCCAAATCGAACTACCCGCTTGGCCCAGATATACCCTCTTATCGCCCAAACAATGACGAGGTATAATAGCGCTTCTCTGCGCAGGCGGGGAAAACAAAGCGGCGGCCACTTGAGAGTGCCGCAGAACCACTTCAGTTTCAACCATTCAGTGATCGATATTGAAAAAAATATAAAAAAAGGGAAATAAAACCAATTGAATGATGTGCCGCAGTGTTGCGGCGCACCCCTTAACCAGACCTTTCCCCCCGCCCCTCCTCCCCCCACACTTTAAGTGGCTTGATCGGCAGTCGAGTGCGTCCATCCGTTCATATATATGTATATATTATAGTATGTTGTAGGCTGGCTGCAGGCAGGCAGCACTTGGGCCTACCATGTTGCAGAGGCGACTGCACTTAATTTAATTGAACCTAGCGATGAACCGAACCACAGGCGTTTGAGAGCCACCAACGCAACCAGACACCACCCCCACCACAGTCTCTGTGTGCGTGTGTGTGTGTGTGTGTGTGTGTGTGTTGTGAATATAAAATCAAATTATCGCGCATCGAAGCGAATCAAAACAAAATAACAGCCCGCGAAATTATAAACGAAACTCAATTTGTGGCGCAACTTTAACTTGAGCCACGGGTATGGAGGGGGGGGGCAAACCGCCAGATGGAGAGGTCCAGTATCGGGGACTTTGGATGCCTCCTTTGGATGCTTTGCGGTTGAGCTCGCTAATAAAAGCGCAACACTACCAACTCCCCAGAGGCGTTCATTTAGCGGCAACCGCGGATCGATCTTATGCCAACCGCAAAGATGATGACGCTGCCTGACGATGTGCTCGTAAATCTTGAACTTAGTTGCGATATGCCACACCCGCCTTTGCCCCACAGCCCTCCCCCCCGTTTCAGCAGCTATTTCTTGCTGTTTAGTACGTGCGGACAGGCTTTGGGGCGCGCACAGAGCTAACCATAACGAGACGCGGCTGCTGTGGCCCATAAAGTAGAAAAACACGCTGCCTGACCGGCCGCCCGCTCACCCCACCCCACCCCGCTCAATGGCCATAAAAATGGAAAAGAAAAATATTTTTTTATTTTTTTGTAAGTTTTTTTTTCGAGGTTGTTTTTTTTGTCCAAGTCGAGCCGCAAACCCAATTTAAAACACGACTTCAACGATGACCGGCGCTGTCTTTTGTGTCTGTGTTGCGGCAACTGGAAACTGCCCCGGCAGCTTCATCTTCTTCTTCTGCCTCTTCATCTTACAACCTCTTTCTCGCTCTGCCTACCCCGCCCCGCCCTGCCCCCTCGCAGTCTCCAGCCGAATTCGTGGCTGGGGTATGTTCAACGGCGGCTATTAGTAATTTATTGATTTGTCTAAATTATGTAGTGTTTCAGTCGGCTTGTTTGTTTGTTATGGCTGCAACAGCACTTACCGCGCTTTGGCACGTCGCATGCCGCATGCCGTATGCCGTATGCCGCATGCTGCATGCCACACAGCGACCACCCACGCTGCACGTGGCGTTAATCACAGGCGCGGCAATCTGCTCCCACGGGTGCTGTTTGAGGACTTGCGAAGAGGCCTTCAAGTCAAATCAAATCCAATCACAAGAAGTGACCATGGAGAACGCAAATGTGTGCCAAAATTAAAAGATAACAAAAAAGTAAACATGGAAATCGTGAGTGTAAAGGATGCATAATCCAACACTAGAGGGAGATAAAAGCTGAAAACGGGGGAGGTAAACAGTGTAAAATCAAACAAACACAAAGAAAGTGGCGAAGGGGGATGTGGAATTAAAGAAAAATTAGGTTATGTTGAAATTGTGTAGAGAAATATCAATAGAGCTCAAACACACACGCATATATGTACTAAATATGAAGGATAAGAATGTAATGTTAATTTACAAAAGCATAGAACGTGCCAAAATAACGCAAAAAAGGTTACAGAAGTTAACATCAAAAGAAATACCAAATAACGGACTATGAAGAACAAGAAAGTGTAAAGAAAAAGCTTTAGCTAAGGCAGAAAATGGCTGTTATAATGTATATATACATTCGGTTCCCACGAGGCTTACGCCTATTAAATCATAACTATTACGACAGACTTACACACACACACACACACACACACATGGCTTTCCAATTATTGCGTGGGCTCTCTTTATTAATGGCAGTAAAAGCAACAACTCAATTAATTAAATATCCATATTAAAAGGCAGAATTACACACGGCAAACAAACTAGCAGCCCACATTAAAAAATAAAACTTTATTCACATACACACGTCTACATATGAATATGTTTCTGTTTGCCTTACTTAATTATCGTAAAAAAAAATGCTAACCACATGCAAATTTAATTGATTGCCTCTTTTTTTGACTCAGCTTACAAAAAAAAAAAAAAACACAGAAAACAACAAAATAATCCGCAGACTTTCCAACTCGTTCATACATTAATGCGATGCGTATGTGTGTGTGTGTGTTCGTATTCCATTCAATGGAAGACAGCGTGGGAGTTATGACGATCATAAAGTGTTGGAAGTTGCGACCCAATTTGTGAAACTGTCATAGATAGTATAACCATAAAGCACAACGAGCTTTCATGCACACACATGCACAGGCTTACGCGCGCACGCACACACACACACACACACACACATACACCCAGTGATAATCCACGTGCGGTGGCTGCTTTTAGTGTCTGACAAAGCGGCTTATGTGGACGCGCAAAGAGGGAACTAAAAACCGATTAGCCGCCTGACAACTTGTACAAGTGTACACACACACACACACACACACACACCCCCACATCTATATACCTATATATATGCATATACTATGTCTGTGTATATTTAAGTATGTCTCAATAAGCAGCCACTAAGAGAGTGAGCAGTTTTAAGTGACAAGTCGACAACACACAACGACTTAATTACGGGCGCCGCCTGTCACCGATGACGTCACACTAACATTCAGCGCAATATGCCAAGCACACTCAAATAGTTACAGCAAAAATTTCGGTCAATGTGTGGCTTTATGCTTAATGCTCTTCTTAACTGTTTTATGCTTGAGCATAATATTCGTCTTTCAAACGTGAGCATATTTTGTTGTGTGACAAATAGTTTTCGGTTAGGCGATACGAGTTTCGGTTGGGCCCTATCTTATCAGGAATCGGCTACCGTGTGCTCGGGCAACGGCAACATATTAACCCAAATCATATTTCAAGCACTTGAGTGGGTTATCAGTAAATTGCGAAAAGTGTTTTAATTGCCAAGTCGTTAAGGTGTCTGCCAAGTGCAGCCCCTATAGCAAATCACAGCTACAATGCAGACCGAGAGGGAGAGAGAGAGAGAGAGAGTGATAAGAGGGCGGGCAGCGCTAATCGCGAAACTCGGAAAGGCCGCCACACTTGAAAGGCAACAAAATTGTTATTTATGTATTTTATTTTCTTCTCTTCTCTTTTTTTTTTTTTTTTTTTTTGTTACTTTGCATGTTTTATTTATAGCTTTAAAACTTGATGGCATACTGATTGTGTGTTGCTCCTACTCATTCTCTCTCTCTCTCTCTCTCTCTCTCTTCTGTCTTTGCAGTTTTGAAAATGAACAGTTTGGCCCGAGGGCCGAGGCCCTGCGTCTCCACCCTGTGTCGTTGCCTGGAAAACGCGACAGTGCGGCAGCAGTGTCAAGCTCGCAACAACAACAAGAACAACAATAACAGCAACAAGCAGAAGATCAGCAACACTGGCTGCAGCACATTGAAAAGTACGTTCCTAGGCACTATTGGTAGTACTTTGGGCCCGCACAGTGCGGCCGCCCGATCGTTTGCGTCTGCATGGAGTCAATGAGACGTAACGAGGCAAACACTAGCCACCACCCGAATAAGGTAAGTGGCATGTAGCACCCCAGACAACTTCCCCACCACCCCTCTAAATAACCCTTGCACTAAATGCGATAAGAGCCGTAATTATTTTATTGTCATCTGCTCCGCTTGGCCTAGCCCTCGAGTGGGGCGGTTCTCAAGTGGCCACTAGACTTTACAGTACGCAGATAAAGCAAAGAGTATGCCGATAAGGTAGAGCAAAAAAATACCACTAACTACTATTTATAATTGTGTGTCCGTGTGTGTGAGTGTGTATGTGTTGAGCAATTTGCTTTGCTTTATGGTCGCAGCGGTAGCTTAAATTTTGTGATGTTTGATTTATTGGTTTGAACAAAATATAATCACAATTACTTAAAGCTGTCTTTCTTTATTATTGAACGAGCATGGAATGGGACAGGGGTAAAATATACGGCAATAACAACAACAGCATAGGAACTACACATTGTGTATGCCGTTTACCAACACTCGCATTAAAGTGGCGTTTTTGTTTATGCGCTAGCCGCTCTCGCCCGCTCGCTCTCATTTACTCTCCCGCTCTGTACGTGGCTGTGTTAGTGTGTGCGTTCTTCTTACGTGTGTATTGTGTCTGTGTGCTTGCGTGCGTGCTGTTTTCGGTGGTTGCTCTTTGAGCTCTTTTTTTTTTTTGTGTTCAGTCTCATCTGCGTCGCCGCGCTGCCAAACGAAAAAGGACGCTGAAGAACGCTCGCGCAAAACATTTTCGGCGTTTTTCTTTATTGTTATTATTTTTATTTTGTTCAATTTAAATGTACAATAAATCGTTCGCAATTGGATATTATAAAATTTGTCCGCTTGATATGGAATGGAAAAATCGCTTAAAAAGGTAACGACGAAACAGGCAACGGCATAGGCAAACAGCACAAAATATTCCCCCCACCACACTAATTTGTTTTTTCTTTTTTTTTTCTGTGTAATTTTCGTGTAATTTTCTGAGATTTAAAACTCTGCTTTGTTGCACTTACACAGCTGCATTACATATATGTATATGTTTTTGGTGTTCTTTGCTCTTGCAGGTGGCCCTGAATAGCAGCAACGTAGCAACGGAAAGCAATATTAAGAATAAATTGTTAGCTAATTTAAGTGCGGCAAACGCAACAACAGTAGCAGCAACAGCAGCAGGAACAGCGGCTACAGTAACAACAGGAGCAGCAGCAACGACAACGGTAGCCACAAACCAAGCATTGAATTTCAATAACAAAGTGAAGGCAACAACAGCAACGAATAATTTGCAAGGCAACAGTGCGATTAAGAAGCATACGAGTAAGTAGAGCACTCAATTACATATGTGTATGTGTATGTATATATGTACATATGCATGTGTGTACATACCTAGTGCAAAATGCAACTGGAAATCAATTGTGTGCAGGCAGGCACAAAAAATAGAACGAAATTGACGATCAGTGCATGAGCTTTTGATTGAAATTGAGGATTTCGGCAACCTTCCTATTAGAGAGGATCCGTTTTTTGTTTTGTGGTGTGTGTTAAATGCAATCGCTTTTACTAAGATTTTAATATATTGCGCAAGTCTTGGCGCTCTTTAATGCGTGAGCAGCCAGAACGGCTCAGCACGCGCTGCGCTCTCTGCAGCTGCAAATTCGTTCCTTCCAGGCTCTACGCCCAAACGCGGCTTAAAGAGAGCGAAAATACAGAGAGCAGCATGTGCATTAAGCAGACTCTTAGGCTCCTCAAAAGAGCGCATTAGCTAACTGGGCAAGCAAGCACTTGGCAATTGTCAAGAGCTGATTTACTTGTTTTTTTCTTCTTTTCAATTTCCGTTTCTAATCTCTCGCATTCCACTTTGCTTTTCCCCATGCAGAATTGATTGGCGCTAGCAAAACAAACGCCGCAAATACAACGACAACAAACAACTCAACGGCGTCGGCAAGTAGCAGCTCATCTAATTCAAGTGAATCGAAGGATACAAACTTTGAGTACGAGGACGAGTGGAATATTGGCGGCATACCAGAGCTGCTGGACGATCTAGACGCTGACATTGAAAAGTCGGCGGCGCATTCGGGTGGTGGCAACCAAACACCAACAACAGCAGCAGCAGCAGCAGCAGCAGCAGCAACAACAACGACGACGACAACGCTAAATGCTAAACAAGCAAACAGCACAGCGGCAACATCATCATCATCATCATCATCAGCAGCAGCAGCAGCAGCAGCATCAGCTCACAAATCGCACAAGACCACATTGCATAGCAATTTGTCGGCCACATCGCCAACCACAATTAAGTTCACACGCCAGCCCATTGCCAGCGGCAGCGCCAACGCAACACCAGCAGCGGCAACAGCAACTGGCAGCAGCAGCAGCAGCAGCAGTAGCAGCTCAGCTGTGTTGTCCAGCAGTAAAGGTTCGTCCTCTTCCGCGGGCAAGCATCATCATCATCATCACCACCATCATCATCATCATCATAGCACAGCTAGCAAGGGCTACAAATCTGCATTAGTCGCACAATTGAACAGCCCTGGTCCCAATCACAACAACAACAACAATAATCAACAGCAGAATAAAAACAGCAGCAGCAGTAGCAGCGGTAGCGGTAGCAGCAACAGCGCAGCCAACGCAGGCACAACCGGCAGCACATTGTCATCCTCGACATTTGCCGGCTTCTCCAAAGGCGGCAACTTGGTCTCCTCCTGCGTCAGCCAGTCTTCCTCCACAACAGGCAGCAGCAGCAGCGGCAGCGGCAGCAGTGGTCAACAGCAAGCCAAACTCTCCGCTAGCGGCATGTCCTCGCAAACGGGCAGCAACACGAGCAATAACAGCAGCAGCAACAACAACAACAACAGCAGCAGCGGCAGCAGCAGCAGCAATAACAACAGCAGCAGCATAAACAGCAACACAATTGGTGGCGCCACAGTTGGTGGCCAAAGTTCGCAAAGCGGCAGCGGTAAATCGAGCGCAAAAATGTCCATTGATCATCAGGCAACGCTCGATAAAGGACTCAAAATGAAGATCAAACGCACCAAGCCCGGCACAAAGAGCTCCGAGGCCAAACACGAAATAGTCAAGGCCACAGATCAACAGCAGCAACAGCAGAACGGTGCATTGGGCAACAGCAGCTCCAACAGCAGCAGCCAGCAGGAGGATGGCGGCAGCAGCAGCACCAGCAGCAGCAGCGGCGGCGGCGGCGGCGGCATGAGCAATAACAGCAGCAGCAGCGGCGGCGGCAATGCGAATGCGTCTTCCTTAAGCAACAACTCGAGCGGCAGCAACAACTCGGGCAGCGGCAACTCTTCCGGCTCTAGCAGCAGCAGCAGCAGCAGCAAAAAGCATCTCAACAATTCCAGCAGCAGCGGCAACAACAACAGCAGCAGCAACAGCGGCGGCGGCAACGCCAATCCAAACAATACACACGGCAGCAACAGCAGCAGCAACAACAACGCACAGTCAACGCCGCAGGGCAACAAGCGCGGCAGCTCTGGGCACAGGCGCGAGAAGACCAAGGACAAGAACGCACATTCCAATCGCCTCAGCGTGGACAAATCAGCTGCATCGGCAGCTGGCGAAAAGGACACGCCCGAGAAGAACGCCAGCAGCAACAACAACAACAGCAGCAGCAGCAATTGCCAGTGCAACGGCGATGTTGCTGCCGCCTCGGCGCCACCGTGCTCGCATCACGCCTGCATCCGACGCATGAGCAACAGTAGCGGCAGCAACAGCTCGACCGCAACGGCTGTGCCGCCGGGCGTGTTCACGCCCTCGGCTGGCTCCCCGGCAGCTGTTGTCTCGGCGGCTGCCTCGCTGCTGGCTGCAGCGACGGCGTCAACCAATGCCTCGCAAGCAGCAGCAGGCAATGGCGGCGGCAGCAGCATAAATGCAGGTGCTGCCAATGCGCCTGGGCCGCCGGGCAAGGATGCCAGCATTAAAATCTCCTCACACATTGCCGCGCAGCTGGCCGCAGCGGCTGCCTCGAGCGGCAACAGCAGCAGCAGCAACGCGAACAGCAACAACAGCAGCAGCTACGCGGGCAGCCAGAGTGGAGCAGCTGCAGCGGGCGGCGCAACGGCAGCTGGTGCGGGCAGCAGTGCGGACAGCAAGGCGGCCAGCCTGGCACAGGCCAAACTGATGGCTCCGGGCATGATCTCAGCCACCATGCACCACACAATTTCGGTGCCCGCGGGCAGCGCCGGCACCGGTGGCGCCGCCGATGACGAGAGCAAATCCCCGCCAGCTAAACGTGCCAAGCATAGCGATAACAGCAAAGATATGGTCGATATATGCATTGGCACATCCGTTGGCACCATCACCGAGCCGGACTGCCTCGGTCCCTGCGAGCCGGGCACCTCGGTCACCCTCGAGGGCATCGTTTGGCACGAGACCGAGGGCGGTGTACTCGTTGTGAATGTTACGTGGCGCGGCAAGACCTATGTGGGCACTCTGCTCGATTGCACCCGACACGATTGGGCTCCTCCAAGGTGAGTAGCTGCCACAGAGTCCTCCTCCAAACCCCCCGCCCCTTACCCACATCCATATCCAGCTTCGTTTGCTTTCCATACTGTTAACGAAAATAAAGATGCCTTTCTTAAAACTTATTTCTTGAGATTTTTGTTTCCGTTTGTAAGGTTTCAATTGCCTTTTATTTTGGGTCATAATTATTTTTAAATAAAGTAAAAAGAGTTAAATTTTAAAATCAAAATATGTAATATCTAGCCATTTTTCGATATTAAAAGTTTTAATTTTTCTATATTAATTGGGGGTTTTTTTTTATTTTGGTAATTCAGATTTCTTCTTACTTCTATTTAATGACCCTGAGTTTTCCCTAACCAAGCTTTACTGTAACACCTTTACCATTTGTATTCTTCGTTGTAGATTCTGTGATTCACCAACTGAAGAATTAGATTCTCGAACTCCAAAGGGACGCGGCAAGCGCGGACGCAGCGCAGGTTTAACGCCCGATCTGAGCAACTTTACCGAAACCAGAAGCTCGGTGAGTTGCTTTATAAACCCATAACTAAGAACTTTCTGAAATAAACTCTCTTTTTCCGTGCAGATCTACTTCTCGCATGCCCAGGTGCACTCGAAGCTGCGCAATGGCGCCACCAAGGGACGCGGCGCGACGCGCAGCGCCTCCGGCAATGCAACAAACAGCAGCAGCAGCTCGTCGGGCAACGGCGGCGGCGGCGGCGGTGGTGGCAATGGTGGTGCCACGCCCAGCACTTCACCCACAGCGTTTTTGCCGCCACGGCCGGAGAAACGCAAGTCGAAGGATGAGGCGCCCTCGCCACTCAACGGCGATGCCGCCGATGGGGCTGGGGGCATGGTGAGCATGGTGAATGCCAGCGGCATACCCATCTCGGCCAGCGGCGGTGGCCTGGCCACCCAGCCGCAGAGCCTGCTCAATCCAGTGACCGGACTCAATGTGCAAATCAACACAAAGAAATGTAAGACTGCCTCGCCCTGCGCGATCTCACCGGTGCTGCTCGAGTGCCCCGAGCAGGACTGCAGCAAGAAGTACAAGCACGCCAACGGGCTGCGCTATCATCAGTCGCATGCGCACGGCGCCAGCGGCAGCAGCAGCGGCGGCGGCGGTGTTAGCTCCATGGACGAGGATTCCATGCAGGCGCCCGAGGAGCCAGCAACGCCACCATCCCCGTTGCCAACAACAGCTGTAGCAGCAGCAGCAGGTGCATCGGCAGCAACAGTTGCAGCCGGCGCAGCGGCAACAGCAGCAGCCACAGCAACAGCAGCACCACCAGCAACTACAGTCGTGTCGCCCACAGCCAGCTGCGCCGCCCTGGCCAATGGCACCACATCAGCCCCAGCCGCAAAGGCAACGCCTGCTACGGCGCCAGATGCCAGCAGCGCAGCAGCCAACAGCAGTGCAATGAATACGGCTGTCGCCGGCCCAGCCACAGATGTGGCGGCCGTTGTTGCTGCAGTACCGTTGCCCGTGCTGCCGCTGGTGGTTGCGGCGGCAGCAGCACAACAAGCGCCGCCCGCAACGCCCAGCCAGGCGCAGCCACAGGCGCTACTGGCGCCAGGCAGCATGCCCGGCAATCAGCCAATTGCTGGCGGCAGCATCACCGCCGGCATCTCTACCCAGGCGCTGTCTCAGCATCAGCAACAGCTGCTGGGCGGACTCGTCGGCGCCGGACTGCCGGCCATGCTGTCCGAGCAGCAGCAGCAGGCGCTGCTACAGCAGGGTGCATGTAAGTAGAAACAAGCGAGGCTATAAAAGCATCCTCTCTTTGACCAGCATCTCTTCTTTTTGATTTCAGTAAAAGCGGGTGTCTTGCGCTTTGGTCCACCCGATGCGGCGGCCCTGCAGCAGCAGCAGCAACAGCAGCCACCTGGTGTCAACACACAACAGTCGCCGCCTGGACAAAGTCCACTGCGTCCGCCTAGCCTGGCACAGGATGCACAACAGCCGCCCGCCGGCTATGTGGCACAGCAGCAGCAGCCGCCGCCGGGCTTGAAAAGCACGCCCGGCTTTGGTCCCGCCTCAGTGGGCGCCGGTAGCAAACAGAAGAAGAACCGCAAGTCGCCCGGTCCGGGCGATTTCGATGGCGGCGTTTCGCGCGAGGATGTGCAGAGTCCAGCGTACAGTGATATATCGGATGACTCCACGCCCGTTGCGGAGCAGGAGCTGCTGGACAAGTCGCAGCCGGTCAAGCACATTGAGCTGCTTGGCAAGAAGCCCAGCGAGGTGGGCGTGCCGGCAGCGCCCACGCCCAATATACCACCCTCCCTAGCCGGTTATGGCATGTACCAGTTCTACCCAGCGGCACAGCAACAGCAGCAGCAGCAACAACAGCAGCAACAACAACAACAGCAGCAGCAACAACAACAGCCGCCGTCGTTGCCACAGCAGCCGCAGTACATGGTGCAACCCGGTCCGGATGCACTGCAGCCGGGCAAACCGTCGCAGCAACAGCTGCAACAGCCGGGGGCACCGCCAGCTACCTCACAGACGCCACAGTCGCATCTGCTGGCGCCGCCCGCACAGCAGGCCGTTGCCCATCTCGCCGATTACAGCAACAAGAACAAGGAGCCGCCGCTGGATCTGATGACAAAGCCGCCGTCGCAGGCGAGCGTCCAGCAGCAGCTGCAGCAACAGCAGCAGCAGCCCGAGAACAATGGCAAGGATACGGGTCCGCCCACATCGCAGCCGCCTCAGGTGCAGCCGCCGCCGGTCAATCTCAGCGCGGTGACTGGACCGCCGCCGGGCGCTCTGCCGCCAGGCATGGCTGGTCTGGGCGGACTCACACCCGCCAAGACCCTGGGTCACTTCTATCCCTACAAGTGAGCTGAACTTTAGAGTTATGCTGAATAATTTATCATTAATTAAATTCTTTTTCTCTTTTTCAGCTTCATGCCGCCGGGCTATCCATACAGCGTGGATCCCAACTTTGGACCCGTTTCAATTGTGGCCTCCGAGGAGGCGGCCAAGCTGGGCGGGCATCCCGGACTGCAGGCCAGCGCACAGGCGCAGGCACAGGCACAACAACAACAACAGCAGCAGCAGCAACAGCTCTCCGGCATCAGCATTAAGGAGGAGCGCATCAAGGAGAGTCCCAGCCCGCACGAGAATCCCAAGCATATGCCGCCGCAGCAGCAGGTAAGTGGAACAAAGCGTTGTCTAACAATTGAAACTACTAAAGAGCCTTCTTTTGCAGCTGTTGGCCAACAAGCTAATCAAACAGGAGCCGCTGATCAAGCAGGAGATCAAGCAGGAGCCCAACACCAATATGGGTCAGCAGCCGCCGCCGCAACATCAGCAACAGCAGCAACAACAACAGCAGCAGCCGCCGCCACAGCCACAACAGCCGCACGCGTTGCATCCAAAGGATCTGCAGGCGCTGAGCGCTTATCATCCAAGCATCTATCAACGCCATTCCATGAGCCTGGCGGCAGCACGCGAGGATGAGCTGCGACGGTAAGCCTCAAATGAATCTTTATTTGATTTGATATGTAATAATCTTTATTTTTATGCGGCAGCTACTACATGTTCTCGGATCAGCAGCGGCGTCAGAATGCTGCAGCCGTGGCTGCGGCACAGAATGCATCCGGCATGCAGCCACATCCCGGCATGCCGCCCCAGCATAAGGATGAGTCCGGCCTCACCGCGCAACAGCAGCAGCAGCAGCAACAACAGCAGCAGCAGCAGCTTTCGCTTGCACAGCATCAGCAACAGGCGCTGCAGCAACATCACCAGCATATGCAGCAGCAGCACCAGCAACACCAGCAGCACCAACAGCAGCAGCAACAACAGCAGCAGCAACAACAGCAGCAACAACAACAACAACAGCAGCAGCAACAACAACAACAGCAGCAGCAGCAGCAGCAACAACAGCAACAACAACAGCAGCAGCAGCAACAACAACAACAGAAGCTTAAGCAATCGCAAGCAGCCAGCGCCGCGGCCAATAACAAAGCCACCAACCTGACCAAGGAGTCGCCCAAGCAAAAGGGCAGCAGCTCCGCCGACGACGATCAGCAGCAGCAACAGCAGCTGAAGGTCAAACAGGAGGGCCAGAAACCCACCATGGAAACGCAGGGTCCGCCGCCACCTCCCACTTCACAATATTTTCTGCATCCCTCGTATATTTCGCCTTCACCGTTTGGCTTTGATCCCAACCATCCCATGTACCGCAATGTGTTGATGTCTGCCGCCGGGCCGTATAATGCGCCACCGTATCATTTGCCCATAACGCGCTATCATGCGCCTGAGGATCTGTCGCGCAATACGGGCACCAAGGCGCTGGACGCACTGCATCACGCGGCCAGCCAATATTATACCCAGCACAAAATACACGAGCTGAGCGAACGCGCACTCAAATCGCCTACCAGCGCTAGCGGTCCGGTCAAGGTGAGCGTCAGCAGTCCCAGCCTGGGACCACCGCAGCCCGGAGGCGGACCTGGCAACAGTGGACCCGGCTCTGGACCGAATGTGCTGGGCGGCAATGGGCCCAATCAGCAGGGCACAACGCCGGGCGGTGCCGGCGGTGTGCCGCTGAATCTGCAACCACCGCCGGGCAGCCTGGGCGGTCCGCCGTCTAATAAACCCGAAATGGCTGGCCAAAAATCACATGGCGCGCCGCCAGGCGGTGCGCTCGATGCGCATAAACAGCCGCTGCCCGGCGCACCGCCCATTGGCGCTGGCCCGGCCGGCAATGGAGCTGTAGGTGTGGCCGGCGGTGCTGGCAATGGCGCTGCTGGTGGTGCCGGTGCCGCCGATTCGCGCAGTCCGCCGCCGCAGCGGCATGTGCACACACACCATCACACACACGTAGGCCTCGGCTATCCCATGTACCCAGCGCCCTATGGAGGTGAGTAGTGCAGGTGGCAAAGGATGGGTGTTTGAAAATCCAGTTGCTCATGATTAATGCTTGCTTTTAGCGGCCGTCTTGGCCAGCCAACAAGCGGCTGCAGTAGCTGTGATAAATCCATTTCCGCCGGGACCGACAAAATGAGAACCACTGAATGGCAGCAACGAGAAGAAGGCCTACAATGTGAAAAACAACTAGCGGGGAAAGGGAACGGGAACGGAAACGGGAACGGCGGGAACGTGAGATGGATCGGAATTGGAATTGGCATCGAAAGGGGATGATGTGGAACTGGAAGAGGCAGTGGTTGATAAATACCCAATTGCATTTGCTATTAGCCCTGGGCGAGCACACATTAAGCATATATAGCGTATATATAATATTTTTACAATGTTACAACAAAAAACAACAACAACAACAACAAAAACCAACTACAACAACAAGAAACAAAAACAGAAATGAAAAAATCGACTATTTATATGCATAAGTATTTTTTGTATGTTTCGTTTAACGTGTTAACTATAAAAATTTAGTTTAAGCCCTAAGTTATCACTACTATTACCAGATAAAAAAAAAAGAAGAAAAAACAAAACAATATATATATATATATGAATATATTCTAGAGTACATACAATATGATAAATATAGCATAACTACAAATTAGCGATGTTTTTCCTAAGTGTATTTTGCATATATATATATAAACATATTATATATATATACATATTATAAAAACATAATATAATTATAGTTATATTTATATTATACGAGAGAGGCGTAAATCGAACATGAACAAAAGAAAAACAAATTAACAAAAAGATGCAGAAGCAAATGCGAAAACTGTAGTGTGTTGATTTCTTGTAAAAAAAAAACAAACAAACAAATTATATAATTAATATTAATACATATTGTTTAACGATTATTATCGATTACCAATTACCGTTTACACTTTAGCAATTACAAATGTAGCACTTACAATTTAGCATTTAGCAGTGTGTATTAATTAATATCCTTATCTGTGTTGCGAATGGAGCCAGCGCGACATTTGCATCTAAAAGACAAAGGGCGCGCCCATTCTTATATCTTATGTATGTATGTATGTGTGTACTATTCGTATCTGTAGTTTATCTTGGGGAAGAAAACAGAAAGCAAACAAAATTATGAAGAAAAACTTGAAGAAAAATTGAATAACATTTAACTTTTGTGAATTTTTGGCCCCAGCAGCCGTCACTTATTTATGTTTCCAAGTATCAAACGTGTGCTTGCAAATTTATAAATATATATAGTATATATTTATATGCATATATATATATATATGTATAAATGTATGTGTATGATATGATGGAAATAATATTATATATGATATGTGTAATTTACATTTATTAACTATATTGTGAATGTAAAATGTGAAGAAGAGGGTGGATGGATGTGTGTGTCGTAGTTCACTAGCCGCTTCATCATAGACTACACGCGTGATTTAATGGCACTTAATGTTTTATAGCCTAAGCCCCGACAAAAAATATAAAAATTAAACAACAACAAAAAAAAAAAACAAAAAGAGAACACAATTCTTTAGAATTTATCAATAAAACAAAGTATTGCATGTAAATATACCTTATAAATCGAGTCTTTTATATATTGTAAATTAGTTTCGATTCCGTGATTGATTGATTGATTGATAGGTGACATGTGTGCGGCATGTTTTAAACACTTAAGCAACAGAAAATACAGTATATTTAAACATAACAATAACTGTGTGTTTGTGTGTTGTGTATGTTAGATTTTCCCCACACTGCATTTTCACTTCCAATTTCGCAATCATCGCAACAAATTAACTCACTGTTCGTAGTGGAATCAGCGTAGCGACACAAAATAAATTAGAGTAAACATAAATTAACAGCTTAGTTGATTATAAAATGGTACAAGCGCAGGACTTTTTAACAAATATTTATGTATTTTTAAATATCAACAAAACAAGAGCAAACTTTATGACATTCTAAACAATGAAATTGTATGTTATCAAGACAGCCGGAAACCGGAAGCCGAGGACGAAGCGGAAGCGGAAGCGAGACACAACAACAAATGAATAAATCGCATTCAAAACAAATTATTACAAATTATGAAAATAACACATAATTAGTGCATAAGAAATTTCAAAAATATAGTACACATATATAGATATATATATACATATATATAAAACAAAAAAAAATAAGCTTTAGATGTGAATAAAAAATGTATTTAAAATGTGACATCTTTTGAATTGACTTGGAATATGCGGACTTCAAAAAAAATAATAAAGATCCTTATGGAGGGATTCATCATCAGATTGGCCTAAAAGGATTATAAGGTAAACACCAAAAATTGAATTCGAATACTTTCTTAATGTTATACAAAAGACAAATTTATTAGCATGTGTATTGAATTAATATCAATTGTTGAAATATATCCTAATAATATACATATAATATATACAATTATGCACTGCCCAGTGGTATTATAAAGCTAATATAGTCCGCAGTTGCGCCCCAAGCAGCCCGATTCGTTTGGAATATTACAATCCAGGTGATCAGCGCAATTGTCCAAAGAAGTGTGCCTATTGCTGAGTAAATGACATCTAAATACAAAAGAAAATCAATTTGTTATTCCTACAGAAATGTCATTCAGTTTATCAACTTACAGCGTTTGATTTGACTCTGCTCGGGATAAGCTGGTTTGCGAAAAGCTTCCGCAAAGAACCAACAAACATTTATGGCCCAAACAAAAGGCAGGAAAGCGAATCCAGCTAGAAGTTTAGTTTGTTAGCGAGAGTCAAGAAAATGGTCTTTGCGCTTACTCAGAAAGTAGGTGCGACAAAGCTGCAGCTTGCGCGGATTAGGTGCCTTCGAGATGTCCATTGTGGATATTGCCTACGTTTTCGTGGAATGTGTCGACTGGAAGCTTAGGAGGCGTCAGCTATGTTATCTCCCAAGTTGTAAGCGGCGTGATTTTAGGCGTTTTATTTACGTTTATTATTCGTTTACATGTCAATTTTAATAGTATTGTAAGCTAACAAAAATACAGAGCTAATCAACACTGATTCATAATAGTGCGGCCAGATCTGCATTTAATATTTTAATTTGTTTTCAAATTTAAATACAAAATTCATTAAGCTAATTCACGTGCTAAATATATATAAATAAAAAAATTAAAAGACAGTTGTACTATTAGTAGCTTAGCCAACCAATCTATTGTGTGCGAATTTGAGCACATACATCGATAGTTTTTGCCTATCGCACATCTCTGAGCAACATGCATGAGCAATGCGGAAAAAGTGACGCCTAATTGCATTCCATTTCAACAATTGGAAAAAGCATGTGGAAAAATTAAATAATGGCCGATGCTGATAATTTAAACAACTTGTCGAATGGCGAACTACGTGCACAGATGTTGGCACAGGGATTACCAAATATACCAATCACAGGAAGCGGCCGCATTGGTAAGCTCTATGACAGCTCTGAGGCACGTCGCGACATGTCGCCAGACCTTGCAGCCACCTGAGATTAAGAAAAATTATTTCTCTCACTTAATAACGCAGGATATAACTTAGCCGACGGCTCCCATGCTTGCATTCCACGCATTCCGAAGGAAACGTAGGTATCATGCGCAATGGAGCTGTCGAAGGCACCAAACTCACGGAAACTGCAGCCATGTCGCACGTGGTTTATGGGTAAGCACAAAAAACATTCTTTTACCCAATATCTCTAATTAACTCTACCTTCAGCTGGTTTCGCCAATCTGCATTTAGTTTGGCCCATAAATCTGTACATATTACGTATTCGCAACCTACCTAAGTTGTACCTGAGAAAAAACGCTGTAAGTTATAGCTTAAACTGTTAATGAAAATAACTTACTGATTGATTTATTCAATAGGCACACACATTGGATTCCAAATCCGCTCTGTTCTCCGCCAGACGTTCTTCACATAGTAGCCCTTCTCACTGCTTGCCTGCAGCTGTGCTCATATTGATGATTCCGTTGGGAATGCATTTTTGCAGCTATTGCAGTCGATTAGCTACTCAAAGCAGCAGCATAAAACAAGCATTAATCATGAACAAGTGGCTCAAGATGGATTCAAACATCATACTCCACCGCTTCTCACCTGCATAGGGCGCGCCGTACATGGAAAACCCCGATATCGAGCGTATGAAAGTGTTTGCTGCGGACTACATGGATCGCCACGATTAGTGGCGGCATTGCTAGCACCGTCGGTCACGTCCACAGCCTTAGATGGACATGGAAAATTGGAACAAAGGCGTAAATCAGCTTGGTAACAATTCGTTTGTAAAATTTAATAGCTATTGCCAGCCATTTCTATAATTTGGGTTATGGCATACTTTTAGGCAGGTCCATTAAAGCAGTGCAATAATATGCAGCGTCAAATCGTTGCATACTTTTGTGGTGCGCGGAAAAGTCCAGCCGTATATTTTTGCTGAATACTTTAGGGCATAACTATTAATTGTCACATTTAAAATAATTCCATAATACATAAACAGGATATATGTGAACTTCCAAACAAGTATATGTTATGCATAAAAATGTTCTTTGTAATGAGAAATCAATGATAAATATAAATTTACGGCTTTTGCCCGATGTCTATGAAACTTCAGGTTATTTGGGACGCATAATCATTGCATACTTATGTGCGGGGTATTTCAATCGCAGAGCACACGCAAACCAAAACCTTCATAGCTCATAAACCACAAGGACGATTTGGATGCCCTTTGGCCGGTTGATAGCCTTTGTCCTTACAAATAGACTGGCACAGGACTTGTCAAGATACGAATGGATACGGCTGAGATATAAGCTATTTTTCTTAATAAAATAGTTTCCCTTTTCTCAGCTGTTTGAAGGACATTCGTCCTTTTTGTTATATGTTTTTAATTTGGAGAATGAGGACTATCTTCTGGCTAAAAATCATCCTGATAGTCCTCGTAGTTTTCGAAATATGGTCAGTTTTCTTAAAAGGACATTCTATTTATGGCCATAACTCGGCCAAATCCTTAAGGACATCGGAAGGATATACTTTTCTGAACTCTAAGGGACCAGATCTATCGATTGGCATTCAAGGATTTCCAGGATTCGACCAAAAATTTTTCCTCAATTTCTGTAAGGGGGTTAGTCAGAAAATCAAAAAATTCCGGACTAACTTGGCCATTTGAAGGACTATCGGGATGTCCTTTGGCCAGTAGATAGTCCTTGTTCTACCATTTACGAATATACAACTCAATGGACGATAGTCCTTCAAACAGCTGAGTAAAAAGGACTTCTTTGTAAACATAAAATAGGCTATAACTCGGTTATATCCTTACGTATCCTGACGAGTCCTTTGTCAAAAAAATTGTACTGACCAGGGCTACCAACTGGCCAAATTGCATCAAGATCGTCCTTGTAGTTTCGGCGATAATAAGGATTTTGTGAAATTTGGCCATATCCGTGCCGCCCGCGAGGGAAAAATGACCAAGTCCCGGATTCTTAGATGACCCCCCTATCTTTTGATGCAGATCGATGCGCTTGGTCCTCACGATCCTAACGCACCATGACCTTTGAAAATCCGCAAGGATATGGCCGAGAAATAAGCATTTAAAAATCATTTTTATATTGGGTCGGCCAAAAAAATCATTGCATACCCAAAAGGGGCGCCTAAAATTTTGCATCCGTAGCCGTTCGCTAGCTGCCGAGATTTCTTAAATTCTGCTGAAATACCAGGCGAACAGAAATCACCAGAAGGTCGAATACAAATTTTAAATGGCTGAAATTTGTATTGCATACCCGAAAGGGGTACGCTCGGCGGGGTTTGGGTCGCGGGATTCGTACTAACATTGACTAAATTACCAGGCAAACAGAAATTCCCAGCAGGTGGACAAAATCTTCGAATGCAAAATTTTATTGGGGGCGCAAAATTTTAGGCGCCCCTTTTGGGTATGCAATGATTTTTTTGGCCGACCCAATATAAAAATGATTTTTAAATGCTTATTTCTCGGCCATATCCTTGCGGATTTTCAAAGGTCATGGTGCGTTAGGATCGTGAGGACCAAGCGCATCGATCTGCATCAAAAGATAGGGGGGTCATCTAAGAATCCGGGACTTGGTCATTTTTCCCTCGCGGGCGGCACGGATATGGCCAAATTTCACAAAATCCTTATTATCGCCGAAACTACAAGGACGATCTTGATGCAATTTGGCCAGTTGGTAGCCCTGGTCAGTACAATTTTTTTGACAAAGGACTCGTCAGGATACGTAAGGATATAACCGAGTTATAGCCTATTTTATGTTTACAAAGAAGTCCTTTTTACTCAGCTGTTTGAAGGACTATCGTCCATTGAGTTGTATATTCGTAAATGGTAGAACAAGGACTATCTACTGGCCAAAGGACATCCCGATAGTCCTTCAAATGGCCAAGTTAGTCCGGAATTTTTTGATTTTCTGACTAACCCCCTTACAGAAATTGAGGAAAAATTTTTGGTCGAATCCTGGAAATCCTTGAATGCCAATCGATAGATCTGGTCCCTTAGAGTTCAGAAAAGTATATCCTTCCGATGTCCTTAAGGATTTGGCCGAGTTATGGCCATAAATAGAATGTCCTTTTAAGAAAACTGACCATATTTCGAAAACTACGAGGACTATCAGGATGCTTTTTAGCCAGAAGATAGTCCTCATTCTCCAAATTAAAAACATATAACAAAAAGGACGAATGTCCTTCAAACAGCTGAGAAAAAGGACACTATTTTATTAAGAAAAATAGCTTATATCTCAGCCGTATCCATGCGTATCTTGACAAGTCCTGTGCCAGTCTATTTGTAAGGACAAAGGCTATCAACCGGCCAAAGGACATCAAAATCGTCCTTGTGGTTTATGAGCTATGAAGGTTTTGGTTTGCGTGTGCTCTTCGATTGAAATACCCCGCACAGAAGTATGCAATGATTAGGCGTCCCAAATAACCTGAAGTTTCATAGACAACGGGCAAAAGCCGATAGCTTTTTATTTATTATTGGTTTCTCATTACAAAAAACATTTTTATACATAACATATACTTGTTTGGAAGTTCACATATATATCCTGTTTATGTATTATGGAATTATTTTAAATTTGACAATTAATAGTTATGCCCTAAAGTATTCAGCAAAAAATATACGGCTGGACTTTTCCGCGCACCACAAAAGTATGCAACGATTTGACGCTGCATATTATTGCACTGCTTTAATGGACCTGCCTAAAAGTATGCCATAACCCAAATTATAGAAATGGCTGGCAATAGCTATTAAATTTTACAAACGAATTGTTACCAAGCTGATTTACGCCTTTGTTCCAATTTTCCATGTCCATCTAAGGCTGTGGACGTGACCGACGGTGCTAGCAATGCCGCCACTAATCGTGGCGATCCATGTAGTCCGCAGCACACACTTCCATACGCTCGATATCGGGGTTTTCCATGTTCGGAGCGCCCTATGCAGGTGAGAAGCGGTGGAGTAGGCTGTTTGAATCCATCTTGAGCCACTTGTTCATGATTAATGCTTGTTTTATGCTGCTGCTTTGAGTAGCTAATCGACTGCAATAGCTGCAAAAATGCATTCCCAACGGAATCATCAATATGAGCACAGCTGCAGGCAAGCAGTGAGAAGGGCTACTATGTGAAGAACGTCTGGCGGAGAACAGAGCGGATTTGGAATCCAATGTGTGTGCCTATTGAATAAATCAATCAGTAAGTTATTTTCATTAACAGTTTAAGCTATAACTTACAGCGTTTTTTCTCAGGTACAACTTAGGTAGGTTTGCGCTAAGCAAAATTATTATAATATATACAGGTTTGTGGCCCAATCAAAATGCAGATAGGCGAAACCAGCTGAAGGTAGAGTTAATTACAGATATTGGGTAAAAGAATGTTTTTTTTGCTTACCCATAAACCACGTGCGACATGGCTGCAGCTTGCGTGAATTTAGTGCCTTCGACAGCTCCATTAAGCATGATGCCTAGGTTTCCTGCGGAATTTGTGGACTGCAAGCATGGGAGCCGTCGGCTATGTTATATCCTGCGTTGTTAAGTGCGAGAAATATTACATTATTTGCGTTTTCTACGACCTAATATGTCGATTTTAATAGAAGTATTGTAAAGCACACAAAATTGAGAGTTACTCAACACTGAGAACAGACAGTGCTGCCAGACCTGTAGTCAATGTAATGATATTGTTTTCAAATTTCAAAAGAACTGATTAATGCTGCGCAAAAATATAAATTACTATAAAATTTAAATAAAGTTATTAAAAGGAATAATTTTACTTTTTGTAGCAAAACCAAGCAAACAGTGGATCCATTTTGTACGAATTCGTGCAAATTCATCGATAATTTTTGTTATCGCACATCGCTAAGCAACATCGCACCGCGCAAAAAAGGGACGCGCAACCGCTTTCAATTTCAACGATTTGTGAAAAGCGTGTGGAAAACAGAAATAATGGCCGACGCTGATAAATTAGACAGTTTGTCCAATGCCGAGCTGCGTGCACAGATGTTGGCACAGGGATTACCGAATATACCAGTCACAGACAGCAGTCGCAAAGTTTTAGTAAAACGTTTGCGTGCCTCACTTGGCGGCAACGCCAACTTGCCGGCAGCCACTGCTAGCCCTAAGAAGACCAGCACACGCCGCGATACCTTGCAGCCGGCTGTTGCTGCCGCACAGGTGGATAAACCAGATGGCACCCAGGCCGCAACCAAGGCACGCCGCACCATCGCCTATACGCCCAGCGACACCAAAGAGGCCGAACGTCGTCGCCAGCCGGTGAACAAGCCGGAAACTGTGCCGGAGGCGGTTGCAGTAGCCAAACCAGTTGCAGCTGTAGCAACCAAGGCCGCACCCATACAGTCACGTCGCATCTCCAACTCGGAGCGCCGTGAACAGATACCCGAGCGGGTTATTCGAAAGCCCGAAACCATTGCAGAGGAGCCAACAGTGCCGAAGAAGCGCAACAATGAGAACACATTGATGGTCAATTCATTGATAATACTGGAGTCGGATGAGGAGGAGGACGAGCAACTGGCTCAGGCTGCTCGGAATGCTGAGGATCAGTACACTCACAACAAACAACAGGCCGCCCAGCAGCTCAAGCTGAGTGCCACCACAATTAATACTCATGATTATGTACCCAAGCCGCTGTATCCTAGCCTGCAGCCTACGCAGGAGCAGCAACGTCCCAGGCAGATCTATGAACATGCACCCAGTACCAGTCAGCCGCGCACTACACTGGGCAGCAGCAGCCTCGACTACCGTGTTGCAACTGGACGTTACAGCAGCTACGCTAGCCCGCTTGCTCAAGGCTATATAACTGGAGCCTCAAGAGCTGCTGCTGCTGTTGCAACCGCTGCTCCGCTCGGAGCCGCCGGCTTTCGACGCTCGCCACCGCGCACCTTCAGCAATGAATTCAGCGATGATACCGCGGAAGAGGAAGAGGACTCCACACAGGGCGTTCGTTTCGAGAGCGATTTTGCTCGCAATTTGGCCCGCCTTCGTGCCGAGCGGATTGGGGATCGCAGCAGCTCCTACAGAAGCACCGTGGCTGGCGGCAGCATTACGGGCGGTCGTCGCTCCCTACGCCCAGAGCACAATTCTTCGTCCGCAGCCTTTATGCGCTTGTGGCAGAGCCTTGATCACAAATACAAGCTCACATCCAAGCTGTTCGTATTGATTGTTGGGCTGCTGCTGTATGGCGTCTATCGCTTCTTTTACTAGAGATTAAGATTTCTCGGCTGTGCCATAGCGAACAAAATTATTTACTTGAATTTGTCAGCACTTTATAAAACTTTAGTTCAGTCTCATTGATTTCCCATATTTTTTCTGTTAAATAGCCACAAATTGTTTCAATTAATGTATGTGTACTCTATATATATATATGTATGTGTGTGCGCTAATAACATTTGGCTGCAACATGTTTCAACTACAATCAGTTCATGTAATGCTGTTAGGCACTGTGTGTATGTTTTACATGTACCAATAAAAATAAAACGGAAAAACGCTGTAACTTAAATATTATAAAGATTTGTCAATGTCTGTAACTAGCCAAAGATATGCAATGCATTTGTGTGTCCAACGAGGACCAACCACATGGGGCAGCGGCCGCCGCAGCCGCTAATGATAGAAAAGTATTTGGAATGCGTGTACAACACTTGTCGGCATCGCTGTGACCAAATGCAGGCGCACACTCGCACACACACACACTCGCCGCTGTACACCTGAGCAAGTGCTTGGGCAGATGCCATTGCAGTTGCCGCTGCCGGCACACATTGAAACACGCAAAGAAATCTTTGTTTCTTTTTTTTTTGTTGCGATAAGAATTAATAAGAATTTTACAAGGCAGCCTGGTTCAGGGGGTGGGGTGTTTGGTGGCATCTTTGGGGCGGGTAATTTTATTAACTGGAAATCGCACTTGCGCGTAAATTTTCTTAAGGAAATTTTTACCTTATTTAGCTGCAACCGGATCTCCATGCACATGCAATAAGTTATGAAAATTGCAAACAACTAACGCGGCCAGACGGAGACGTAGGATGTAGCCGTCGTAGACCAACCGCCTGTCGCCGATGATGAATTCCACAAATACACGAGCGACATCCAGTTGGCTCGCTAGCTGGCTGGCTGGCTAGCTTGATGTCTGGTTGTCTGGCGGAGCGGCAGATTCCTTGAAAACAAAGCCAATGCCTAAGCAATATATGTATATATACATATATATCGTGCGGCTAATAAATGCGACGCTAGTTGCTCTTAATGAAATTAACTTCCAGGAATTACCTACATGGCTGCCCCTGCCCCTGCCCCTCCCGCCTGCTCGAAGCTAACCAGCTAAACAATGGCAGCAGCTGCAGCTGCAGTCGGGAACGTCGACGGTTTATGCATTTGCCAGCCATTGGCCATGGAAATTAAATGGAAGCCTGCAAAAAAGGTTTCACGCGATGACTTCACACCATTTGCTCCACGCCAATAATAGAGACGTAGTCGGACGTAGCTGCTGCTCGAACTGCTGCTGCTGCTGCTGCTGCACCCACCAGTAATGCCGCTCAAGTGTGACATTCATGGAAAACAGAGTGGAATATGATTTTATGGCCTGTCGTTGGTCAGAAATGTCAACGGCTGGACCAACGCCTTTTGTCTGCGTCACGTACCATGCAAAACTGAAGCTGGCAAGCGTTGAGACCGGAGTTGAACTTGAAGCTGCATGGAGGCAGTTTCTCCGGGCTCAGGTCTCAGCTCTCGGCAATGACTTCCTCGTTGGGCCAATTAAAGTTGTTGTCGCCGCTGCAGAAATCATTTGTAATGCAACGTTTGGAATAATTCACGCGCAAATTGCTCCACTCGCAAAAATATAGCAACATTCCACAGCAAATTTTACGATTATGCGTTTCGACAGCCAACAACAACAACAACAGCGAGCGAAAACCACGATGGCGACAAATGCCAGCGCCTGCAACTGGCAACTGGCAACTGGCAACTGCAACATTCGTAGGCGCACATCAAATCAAATCAAATTGTTTGCAACGGCGGCCATTGCACCCGGCTTGAGGCCAGACGAGAGCAAGCCAGTACATGCCCCATGTGGCAATGCGCCTTGAGCCATGTTGTACGTTTAAGTTGGTGCAACCAACATTCGCCGTGTGTTGTGCTCCAAATCGATAAATCAGCCAGCTAATTGTTCAGCTCGCCAGCGCCGCCAACTCTTGACGAAATGTGAGAATTGAGCCTGCAATCGATTTGAACTCTGTCTTTTAAATGCACACCAATCCACCCCCCCACTGCCGCCCCCGAAAATGTGGATGCTATGTGGCAAAGGAATCGCATCATATGAGAAACCCGATCACACACACACATTTTAAACTATTTATGTTAGCTAGTTTCAATAATTTACGAACTTACAGCTAAAGTAGGAATTATTTATTTTAAATGTAAAAATTAAGTAGTTGCCAGCATAAGCATAAAATAATTATAGATTTTTCATAAACATGTCAAAGCACACGAAAATTATGAACAGAAGCTGATTATAATCACTGGGACCAAAGGGAAAATAGGGTATATTGGTTCTGCTTGTTAGTCAATATAAAGGCTATGAAATTTCGATCTAGTTATAACTCGCACTATTTAAGACTTTTCTTAAAAGACGGAAAGCTTGTATACATTTTGTTGAGCTGTTATTATACTGTCTATAAGGTATCTTGTAGTCGGGAAATCTTCAGCTGGCAAGAAAATATCAGAAAGTTGTCACGCATTTGAATAAAAACTGTTAAGACTTTTGTAAATTATGGCTTCAAAACACAAATAAATTCGGGATTCACATCAATTCAGATTGGTGTAGAAGTTAAAATCAAAATATGCCTTAAATTTGCAAAAACTAACGCAAAATTTCTATGAATACATGCATATAATATTTTACTCAATTTCTTTGTAAATGTTCAAGGCGTTCTTTTATTTTTAGAGCGTTATTTGAATTCGGAAACAAAAGCAGCTGCTAAAAGTATTTTTGGCATATGTTTATCAATTCTATAGCTAAGAAGCTATAAAACTGCAATCTATTTAAATAAGACTTGCGGCCATATGTATATACATATATTAAAAAAAATTAGTTACAAGTAATCAACATAATTAATCGTATTGGATGCCATTTCTGTATGCAAAAGGTCCAAGCTTAAGTGGACAAGGCAATGAGACAGAAGACAGAAGAGTTTGAGTTTAAACAATTTAATTCTATAAATAATGACAGGCTGCCTAAAAACAGACACAACTCGACAGTTTTGGCTGCCCACTGCTGCAGGTATTGGCACACACACACACGCACACACACACACACGCACACACAGTCGGGAGTCAAATATTTGAAAATGAGCATGCGAACTGCGCTGACTACTCGTTGTCAACTTGTGGTCCACAGCGGCCAATCAGTGTCAGCTGGAAGTGTCTCTTTTAGGGGCCTAAGTGATGAGCTAATCAAGTGGCCGCTGGCTGAGGCTGACCCGGGCTCGCGATCCGAGCGCCGAGCTCCGAGCTCCGAGAGCCCCAAATCACATCTTGTGTCTATTTTAATAACATTATTTATGTGCTGCTATTTCGATTTTTTCTTTTTGTACCTACCTCATTTTATAGGAATCAGAAAGACAAGCGTTTGGGTTAGAGCGAGAGACGATTTTGTATACTTATTGTAA